TTTTAACCGATACGTCACATTTACTCTGCCCTACAAAACTGAATAGAGGAAACAAACAGAAGATAGACAGAGGAAACAAAAGAAGTAAATTTGTCGAAAAAAAACAAAGTAGTAGTACAAAATTTTCTAGTTTTGCGGTATCTTTAATCATTCCTTATCCTTTTAGGAAAACAGATCATCTTAATTACCTTCAGAAAAAATTAATAAGAGAAACAGAAAAAAGAAGTCGGAAATTAATATTAAAAACATTTTAAAGATTCAACATTAGAAATACCGATCATTCCATGTGAATATCTTTTTTCTCTTATTAAAACAATTTTGAGATTTCGTAACTTGTCCATCATCTTCTTTATTCTCATGAAATATTAAAATCAGACAATTTTTAAATCCCATCTTTGATACCAAAAAATATTAATTAAAAACAAATAGGAAGACAAAGCGGTTAAAAAATAATCGCTCGATACTTTTGATTTTATATCTTTTATATTAAAAAAAAAAAAAAAAAGAGCTGAGGAAATCCAATTTATCTCGAACAAGTTCGATCTCGTCGCGAGACTGTCGTCATCGGGATGAGAACGCGAGGGTCAGTTTCGGGTTTCGACCGCGATTAGAATCCGCGGAGCGCAGCTCCGGTGCGCGCGCCCGGCGCAGTAGCGGCGGCTAAGGGCATTCACCTTCTCGGGGCGGTCGTCTGTTGCCCGGGCAACAGACAGAGCGGTAACCCCTTCGGGCGTTCCGTCGCGCCGCGCTTTAGACGCTCCGCTCCGCTCCGGCGGTGCGCGGCGCGAGGCACGACCTTCGTTCCCGCGTTTCGAAAACGAGCGGCCGTGTCCCGGTGGCCGAGACGATCGAGAGGCAGAGGATCATCTCCGACCGGTCTCTCGATGCGGTCGCTCGTTTTCCGGACGCGGGAAGAGGCGGTCGGTCTAGTTTAGCTAACGTGGATTTAGTTTGGTCTCGCGCGTGTGATCGACGGCCAGGAACGATGCAGGACGCAGCCGCGGATGAGACACGGCGCGGGCATGCGGCGACCTGGACGGTGAGTCTCTCCCGAAGCTCTACCAACCTCCATGCGTTTTCGTTCGTCGCGGATAGCCTACACGACTGTGACACGTATGATGTGTCACAAACGCGCACGCGGCGTCCGCCGTCAGTCACGCACTATCACGCGTATTTAGGTTATATCGGTCACATGTGAACGGAGAGCATTGTCTCGAGGTGTGGCGTGTGCGGAGTAGCCCGTCGCCGCTACTCTCTCGCGCGCGCGGAGATTCGATCAGGAGCCAGCTATCTTCCTCCCTCCCTCTCTCTCTCTCTCTCCT